TGTTTTCTTTATTTTTATTTTATTATTGCTTGGAATTTGGACGTTCGGACTTTTAAGATAAAAATAATAACCTGAGCAAACAAATTTCTTAGTCTGATGACCAGATATTTAGACTCTAAATCTATTGTGAAAATGGCTGAACTCAGTCGTCTCATTCCATCTATAAGGTTGGTCTGAAAAATACAGTATTTATAAGAATATTTGGGTCAATTATTATAGATATTTTAAGTGCAAAATTTGTTAGAGCAAAAAGGATCTAAGACATAATAAAATTAATAAGAAACTAAAAAAAATGACTCCATTAAAAGCCGAGTGTTTGAAAGGAATAAAAAAACTAAAAAGAAATAGAGAAATGTAATTTAAATATAGCAAATAGTTGATATGATGCATCAATGAAAATAAAGTTAATCGAGGCATATTAACTGATAAAAAAAATTTAAATCATAGCACATAAAAAGATCTTTTTAAGATATTTTTCGCCAATTTCACACAAACACACAAAAAATCACACAGTACTGAATTTTTGAAAGCTCAATTTTGTATTAATGAAAAAAGATACGAAGCAAATTTTATGAAGCCAAAATTGGGGGAATTGGGCAATTAATGAAAGAAACTGTGCATATCCATGCACACAAAGAAAGAAAGAAAGAAAGAAAGAAAGAAAGAGAAAGACAGAAAAAGAAAGAAAGAGAAAGACGGAGAAGGAAGAAAGAAGGAGAAAGACAGAGAAAGAGAGAAGAAAGAGGAAAAGAAAGAAAGGGGAAAGAGAGAAAAGAAAAGAAAAATGAATCCAAGGAAGTAGGGAGAAATAAATAAATAAAGAAAAAAAGAAAGAAAGAAAGAAAAGAGAAGAATAGGAAGATAAGAAAGAGAGGCGATGAAAGATAGAGAAGAGGTAAAAGAAAGAAAAACGCATTCCAGGGAGGAAAGAAAGAAAGAAAGGGAAATTTAAAAAAAAAAAAAAAAATACGAGGAAAGGCAAAAAAAGAGTATCCCTCTCAAAAAAGGGCAAATTATATATATACACACATTCTTCTTTTTCCATTAGCAACGTTCCTTCAGGACGTTGGCGATCATAGCTCTCCACAATTTCCTGTGCTTTATAGCTCTTTATAAGTTTTATCTTTTGGTCGTCTCTCCCACATTCACTAAAACTCATCAGTTAAGTTGTTTTCTTCTCTCTTAAGATTGTTACTTCTCAGAATTGTCTCACTGGAAGTCTGGTGAGAAGATACATCCTTGTCTTACATGCCTTTCTGTTTTAGTATATTTACTGAACTAATTTTCTATCCGTCTGCAGGCGGTTTGCTGCCAGTATAGGTTCTGTATTGTTCTAATATCCTTCCCAAATAGATCAAGGTTACCTAGCAATTCCAATAATTATTTGTGGGGTACTTTATGAAACGCTTTTGCATAATCTATAAAACACAGGTACACATTTTTTTCTGATATCACGCTGAGCATAAATATTACATTACTTGTTCCAGTATCTTTAGCAAACCTGCACAGTTCTTGACCTATTGCTTGTCTGTTTCTGTTGAACGCTCTATTCAGACGATAGGCTTTGCTATAGGGTCCATTAGACTGATTGCCCAATGGAGTTTACATTCGTTTGAACCTGACTTCTTAAGCAGTGCTAAGAAAAGGAATCTACTTAGGTCAGTGTTTCCCAAACGATACACCGCGCCTCATAGATGCCTCGGAAGAGGATAGCAGGTGAGGCGGAAGAGGGTAAGGGTTAGTGTGAGGCGAAAGAGGATAGAAGGTGAGGCGGAATGAATGCAAGACAATCAAAGATTTAGAAACAGTTTCAAAAATTCATATACCAAAAATAAATATGATTTCAGAATTTAAAATATTATTATGGATAACTTGTAATTGCATACATGAGTCCCAGTATAAATAGTTATAAATAATTATTGACTGATTTTATCATTGCGATATTTTTGTGTTATATCAAGTATTAAAAATATAGTAACTAAACTCTGCAAATTGGAGGAGAGAGTTATCAATGATAATGTTCGAACTTCGAATCCGCGGTTATCTCCCTTTAACACTCTCCTTGTTTTTTTATTTCTAAATGTAACTTTTATCACATAAAAGTTGGTGAGGTGCGAACAAATTTTGATTCCGAAAATGCAGCCCAGAGAAAAAAAAGTTTGGGAACCACTGACTTAGGTCTTCCGGTATATCACCATTTTTGTAGATTTAATTTATCATAACTGTAATCTTCTTTATGCCGAAATCATCTAAAGCTGACAGCATCTCTATTAAAATTCCGTCTGGTCCTGCTTCTTTGTTTCTGTTCAGTTTGGCCAGTGCTGATTCCACTTTAGATTTTAATATTTTTGTCTCTTCGATAATTCTGTGTATTGCCGGCTGTCCCCTTTCGACGTTGAAGAGTTCTCCGATGTATTCATTTCATCAAGTATTTTTATTTTCTCTAATAGCAGTGCCCCGTCCTTGGATTTTATGCATCCTCTTGATGGGCATATCTTTTGTTCTGCTCTCTTATTTTTATGCATATCCGCTTCATCTGTGATAGTCATTCTTTCTATTTCTGCCCATTTTTCGTTAAGCCATTCCTCTTTAGCCTTCCTGCATTTGTTCCTAATTTCTTGGTGCAGAGTCCTATATTCTGTATTATACCTTGGCATTTTTTATCTCCTTTTCATCATATCATCATTTTCAGCTGTCATCCATTCATTTTGCTTTATCTATTTTTCTTTGGGATTATCTCTATCACTGATGTTACTAAAGATTCTCTTAGTGTGTACAATTTCGAGTTTCCATTTTTATTTTGTTTATTGTATCTGTTATTAACATTATTCGTATATTTCTCCTTTACATTCGGATCATTCAGAAGTCTGTCGTAATACAAACTTGGTTGCTACCTTACATATCATTGGAAGGTGATCGCTCTCTCAGTTGGCACTGGGATATGTTTTGCAGTATAAAACAGCATTACTGAATCTATTGATGATAGTCATATAGTCAATTTGTTTTTTGTTTCTCTCCCTGTGCTTCTCAATGTCCATAAACGTCGCGAATGTTCTTGAAACCAGATGGACCCATTTTTCTTCACGTTCATTACGAGTTCCTTTTTCGAATTTGCTATTTCATGATCTCTCTTGTCTACTTTGGCATTCAGGTCTCCCATGATGACTGCAATTCCTTGCTATTTAATATTTCTACATACACTCAAATGTATTTGCGTTTGTAGAGTGTTTGAGTGACGCTTAGAATCTGTCCACTTTCTCAGGCTTCCCGTCAGCCGTGTTCGTATTTGCGTTGTTCACACGCGTGCCACGACTTGCACGTGACCGAGTTAGTCCATTTCATGAATGGGTTACCGGTGTTGTTCTTACGGACGTCCCTCCGTATGATACGGCCGCCTGTCCTACTCTACAATGTTCACTTACACCAGACCGTATGCATAAAAAGCGGATTTTAATAAAAATTTACCAGGATTAAATATTAGAGTATATATAATCACATATCTTCTTAATGCGATGAGTAAATTATCACCATTCTATATCTTTAATTTCGCGCTTTGTTTGTTTCTGATTTTGTTGACTGCACCGTATAATAGGGTCAGTTGGGCTAGCGCACTATGAGAATAAGAGCATCATGACGCAATTCCCTCCGCCAGAAATTTGGAAACCGCATGCTGTACTGCTTGACATTTGCACCGGAAGTTCCAATACAAACATTTCAGAGTGTTTGGGTGTCAATCTGAGGACAGTGCAGAGGATTCAGAAAGAGTTGGATGAGTCTAATGGTGATTATGAAGGTACGGTAACATGGAAAACTCAATAAAGACGTCTACATCAAGTGCCTTTGTTCAAGAGGATTGGCTGCTGGAAGACCCCATGTCTGGCAACAGGACTGTGCATCATGCCACACAAGCAGGAGAACCCGGTCAATTTTTGCGACTACATGACTCTTTACATCTGGTCACCAGACTCCCCAAACTGTAACCCCACTTGATTATTATGCATGGGGTGCAGTTGAGCGAGAGACAAAAACAACTCTTTGTATTACCAAAGATGAACTGAAGACAAGGATTATGGTAGCATTCAGCAACTTAAACAAGGAGACCGCCCAAAAGAGTTGCAGGAGATTCCGAAGTCGTTTGAGGCGGTGGCTGAAGCCAACTGCGATTTTATTGAATAATTTTCTCTTGTATTTAAAGATATTTTTGTCATTTTGCTAAATATATCTGTTAAAATGAGATGTCAGTGTTTTCATTTTTAGACGACAATTTATCCATCGTACTCTGTATGTGTGTGAGTTCAAGATGTATGCAAAAGTATATATGTGTGTCTGTATGTTAATGATGACGAGTAGGTATGCATTGTGTGTACATATGTGTTGATGTGTATATTGTGTGTGTGTAAAAGAAATAGTAACATATTTACGTGCTTATAGGGGGCACCTCGAGACAGAGTAGTGGTTAGCAATCTTGTCTCGCTAGAACAATTACGTCTTAGTAGTGAGTTCAATCCTCACTGAGTGCTCCCTATTTTTGGTCTTGTGCCACATCTAAACTACGCTTGGAAAATCACGACGTGTTCATGATGTATTGTCACATTTTCTTTTTCCTGTCTGTTTATTCTCACCATTTCTCTTTGTACACTTAGACTCCATGCATATATTTGTGTTTATATCTGTGTATATATGTCAGTGTGCCTGTACGTATTTTGTGATCGCCGCTATATGTGTACGTGTCAGTGTGTGTAATAATGAGCTATGTGTAGATATGTGTGCCTATGGGTGTTTAAGGGCATACATAGGTGAGTGCACATGTGCAGATGATTTGTGCAAGCATGCAGTTGTTTTACAGTTGGCAGAAGTAACTGAAATACAAAGGTCCCCAAAAAGTTTTACTGGATGCAAAAAAAAAAAAAAAAAAATGAGCAAATTATAAAATTATTAGTTAAAGATGAAAATAGAAGTTGGGGGTGGTGGTGGTGGTGGTGGTGGAGATAAACGTTTCATTAAAGTGACAACCAAACCACCGTAGAAATAAAAGAGGAAGAAAGGGAATCGAATGAAAACCAAAAGAAAAGAAGGGAAGAGAAAAGAAAAAAAAATGATGAAGAAAAGGATACAAAAAGTAAATAAAGAAACGAAAATGGAGGGAGGACGGAAAAATTTTGTGGGGAAAGAACGAATGTGAGAGAAAGAAAGCATATGGGGAAAATAAAGAATGTGGAAGGAGAATGAAGGGGGAAATAAAGAATGTTGGGGGATGTGGGAGAAGGATGTGGGGAAATAAAAATGTGGGGGATGGGGAGGAGAATGTGGGGAAAATTAATAAATGTTGGGGATGTGGGAGAGGGATGTGGGATGTGGGAGAAGGATGTGGGGAAATAAAGAATGTTGGGGATGGGGAGGAGAATGGGGAAAATTAATAAATGTGGAATGTGAAAAATGGGGAAATAAAAATGTTGGGGATGGGGGAGGAGATGTGGGAGGAAATAAAAAATGTTGGGGATGTGGGAGAAGGGTGGGGGGAAATAAAGAATGTTGGGGGATGGGGGAGGAGAATGTGGGGAAATAAAAAATGTTGGGGGATGTGGGAGAAGGATGTGGGGAAATAAAGAATGTTGTGGGATGGGGGGAGAATGGGGGAAATAAAAAATGTTGGGGGATGTGGGAGAAGGATGTGGGGGGAAATAAAGAATGTTGGGGGGGATGGGGAGGAGAATGGGAGGAAATAAAAATATTGGGGATGTGGGAGAAGGGTGTGGGGGAAATAAAGAATGTTGGGGAAATAAAAATGTTGGGGATGTGGGGAGAAGGTGGGGAAATAAAGAATGTTGGGGGGATGGGGAGGAGAATGTGGGGAAATAAAAAATGTTGGGGGATGTGGGAGAAGGATGTGGGGAAAATAAAGAATGTTGGGGGATGGGGAGGAGAATGTGGGAGGAAATAAAAAATGTTGGGGATGTGGGAGAAGGGTGTGGGAGGAAATAAAGAATGTTGGGGATGGGGGGAGGAGAATTGGGAGGAAATAAAAAATGTTGGGGGATGTGGGAGAAGGGTGTGGAGGAAATAAAGAATGTTGGGGGATGGGGAGGAGAATGTGGGGAAATAAAAAATGTTGGGGGATGTGGGAGAAGGATGTGGGGAAATAAAGAATGTTGGGGATGGGGAGGAGAATGTGGGAGGAAATAAAAAATGTTGGGGGATGTGGGAGAAGGATGTGGGGGAAATAAATGTTGGGGGATGGGGGAGGAGAATGTGGGGGGAATATAGAATGTGGGGAGGGGAGTAATAATGTCATCCATCATTAAAACAGAATATATATATGTGACTGATTTGCTTTTTACGCCTTATCAACTTTTTGTAGGTATTTAAATCCTAGACCTATTTTCAGATTGTAATAAGTTTTTATTAGAGTTAATATTGTATTAACAATTTTTTGAGATAACAATTTTTTAGATAGACGTCCTACTATTTAATTGATAGCTGAGGGGAGAAGAGATGAATGCATTCCTTTCCTAAAGGTATTAACGTGTAAGTGAATATAATGAACTCAATGGGAATTGAAACTAAACTCCCCGATTAACAATTCGAGCCATTATCCACTACTCGCACACACGAACTTACAGCACGTGGTATTCTCAAAAGGTTACCCATTTAGGGACTAAACCAGGCTTGACGTTGCTTAACTTCAGTGGTCGTATAGAGAACTGATGTTTCAATGTGATGTGGCAGTAAATCTTTACTACCCTGTGTTATTCTTGGACGTTGTATTCAGTGAAAATTAGTATAAATTGTTACATCTAGTATTCTTAAGAGTGGTGGAATTGGGTGAGAAATAACGTGGTTATGAGACTAATGTCAAATTTAGTCATAACTAAATAATTAATTCATCTGTTTTGGAATTTTCTCTACTTAGTAAACTGGAAAGTCTAATTTGGCTGACTAAACGTACATCTGCGGATTGTCTTTTTAAACTATCTTGAATATTACACGATATATTTCTCTTCTCACCTCTGAAGAGGAACGTTCAAGAAAGCATAAGGTGTAAAGTCTCTCTAATTCCAAGCATTTCTCTTTTTCACCTTTCTTTTCTAACGATAGCTTCGTAATAACAAAAAAGAAAAAAAGAAGAAATTCGAACTTAAAAAGAAAAATAAAGTTTTAAAATCCTGCAGTTTTTTTTTCATATATCGGTCACTGGCAAAAGTTACCGGAACTAAATCTATTATTTTGTTTCTCTTATCAACAAATGCTAACAAAATTTAACAAAAAATAAAATAACATTCAAATGAAATGGAGAAGCTAGAAAATTTCTGATCAGCATTTCTTTACTTTTCATTTTTTTCTTTTACTTTTTCTTTCTTTCTTCCCGCCCAATAAAATTAATGAAGGCTTCGCAAAGTCGCGATTTTTTTTTAGATGATTAGTGATAAGCAGTTGGGAAGATGAAATTATACCTGCTGTTTTATTAATAGGTGTTGGTAAAAATGGTGTGATATTTTTGAGTGGAAAATCTTAGTCATGGTTACTAAACTTCTTCACTTATTATTTTTTTAGTATTTATTTCATTTGATTTTATTGGACAATAGAGGAAGACTGTATAGCAGAGAGGTGCTACTTTCTAACGGATGATCTATAACACTTTGTAGAGGATGGAGTTGAGGACTTTCAAAATAAATGAATTCAACACACGAATTGAGTTTTTTTTCAACATATATTTATATATAAAGTACAACATAGTTCACAAAAGAGAACATTATATCTACGTATATATATATATATATATATATATATATATATATATATATATATATATATATAAAATTTTTGCGCTGAGCTGAAGTGTGCGAGTATGTGCACGAGCCTCGTGGTTGGGTTGAAATTAAGTAGTCGTAAGTTTTTTTATATATAACAACTGCGTCCTGGGTAAGATGATAAATTAAGCCCAACAGTAGTGCCTCTTATCAGGAGGTTTTGAGGAGCATGGGACCACCTCTTTGTTGCTGACTGTTCCCAGTTCCACCCTGACAAGGGGTAGTAGCACCTGTAAGGGTCCCAGCTATGGGCAAATAGTTAACACCCAAACTTGTGTAAAAATAGGTTTTAATACCAGAAATACTTTGTAATAAAAAATTATTACCAGCAATAATTTTTGAAGGAAAAATTATTATCAGCAATACTTTAATAAAAAATACCAGCAATAGATTTCTTCAAGGAAAAATATTCCCAAGAATAGATTTTTGAAAAAAAACATGTTACCAGTAATAAAAATTTTGTCGGTATTAAATAACCTAGTGAGGTTGATATGCCGTAAAACAAACCAAACCAAACCAAACCATATAACAACTAACATGATAACATAAATTGTTGGTAATTTTGGTAGACACTAACTTAAGGTCACTAAATCGGGGTCCAAAGTTTGGTTATCAAATTGTAATTGACTAAATTAGATATTAATATAGTCAGGTGATTTTTCTGTATTGTAGTAAAACGCTAAGTAGAAAAACTGTTTAGCAAATCAGGGTGAAGGTAGCTGAATCCATTTGTTGGGTTACCAAATATATGTTTAGGTTATCTTGAGCAGTATCTGGCCGTAGTAAGCAGATAAATATATGCAAACGTTTATAATCAAAATTAAAGTCGGCTAGGAAGACGAAAGAACCTAAATGAAGATTTTCTTATCCTGAGCGAATGAGAAAGTATCCATACTTTCTCATGCTCTCAAGATAAGAAAATCCTTCCTTCTACCCAACCCTGAAATGGAAAATTACTGTATGTTACACACATGTGTTCTTGTAGATGAGCACAGCTTGTTTCATTGGCATCTACTAGAAGTCTGTTTTTTTTTCTGTGAAGACAGGCTCTGTTCTTTGGAGATTTAGAGTCACATTACCAGCTAAGAAGCTGCAATTTAATTGGTAAAGAGGAAGGAAAGTTAACCAAAAACATTTAGTGATACTTCAGAAGAAATAAGAAAGTGGTAAACATAATAACGGAATTATTTACATTACTTGGACTATTGTCCTCATCTCTGTTGCCATATTTATTACAACGTTTCGGCCGTTGTACGCTCCGGCCTTCTTCAGGTGGTTGGAATGTCGAACTGAACCCTTTATTTTGCTCAAGGATTCATGGCACAGTGGATAAAGGCGTTAGATAGATCCAGTGACAGGATCCAAAGAGTGTTAGTATAATACCTGGTTAAGGCAGTGGAGAACTTTCAGAGGGAAATTAACAGGAGATAACTGATAACTGACATCCATTAAACATGGCACGTGGAACTAGAACAGTCTACCCCAGAGAGAGAAATAAAGGGTTCAGTCCAACATTCCACCCACCTGAAGAAGGCCAGAGCATACAACAGCTGAAACGTTGTGATAAATATGGCGACAAAGATGAGGACAATAGTCCGAATAATGTATATAGTGTACATAATACCTGATCTCAGAAATATAGACAGATACTGAAAGGCCGAAACGTTGTAATAAATATAGCAACAAAGATGAGCACAATAGTCCGATAATGTAAATAGTGTACATAATACCTCATGTCAGAAGTATCGACAGATACTGAAAGGCCGAAACGTAATAAATATGGCAACAAAGATGAGGACAATAGTCCAAATAATGTAAATAGTGTATATAATACCTCATCTCAGAAATATAGACAGATACTGAAAGGCCGAAACGTTGTAATAAATATAGCAACAAAGATGAGCACAATAGTCCGAATAATGTAAATAGTGTACATAATACCTCATCTCAGAAATATAGACAGATAATAACGGAATATTCATTATTACTTAATGTACAAAGTGCTGAAGTTCACTAGAGTTAGAAACGTAAGTTCTCATTAAAAAGTAAGGTTTTGCGTTGTAGGAATCTGGCATGAAGCAATGTGTTAATCTTAGTTATCACAATAATAAGTAACGAGCCTGTAAGCATTGAATTTCAGGGTTCATATAGTTTTCAAATGGTTTTAGTAAATGATATTAATGCTTATTATGTCGTCTTCCATTTATTTTTACTAGCTACAGAATCACAAAGAACTTTACCAAATAACAGAAACCATATTACTTGAGGACTTTCAACAAGAGCAACAATTAAAATCAATATCACGTGTAACTTAAAGAAAACATAATGACATGATCAAGATGATGACGTTCTATGCTTCTTCTATAGACCGTACCTTTTCAGTACATGGATAGCCATGGCTCTCTACAACTTCCTATCCTCTTAGTATAGTTTGTCCTTTTGCTATCTCTCCTAACCCCTATTCTGCCAGCCATCTAAACAAGTTTGTTAGATAGGTTATTTGCCTCTTTCCTCGGCCCCTCTTGCCTTCAATCTGTTCTGTGAGTATCAAATTTTCCAAGCCCTCTTTCCTTATTATGTACCCTAGAAATTTAAACTCTTTCTGATTCTAAGTTTAAGTGTTCTTTTTTTTCCATTTTGTCTAAAACTTCCTCATTACTCATATGCTCAGTTCATTGAATTCTCAGCATTCTTTGATAGAAGTAAATTTCCGCTGCCTCAAATCATTTTGTCATCTATGAGGAGATTGCCCAGCATTCCCTTCCATATAGGAGGATTGATATTGCATAGTAGCTCAGTGTCTGGTTACCTTCTCCTATTTTCGAAACAGCTACTAGGGGACGCTTTCCGGGCTATAATTACTTGGCGATATCTTTTCTCACCCTCTTTTCCCACTTTTTCTGCTTACACATCAACATGTAAGTCTCTCGCGAAAGAAGGCGCTCCCTTTTGGGAAACACATGAACAATACACACACACACACACGTATGTATGCACCTTTTACTTCATTTTTGTGTAGGACTTTCTTCTACACCAAACTATACATAAACAAAAAAAACTCACTAGCTTAAATGTTTTCTTCATTCATGTTCATTGTTCAGTAACACACAATATTCTATTGTTTACGTAACCCTTTATTGTTAATACATTATCATTTGTTTGTACACATACATATTGGTCCTTGTTGTTTCTTTAATTTTTTTACGTGGACTCATATTCTGAGCCTGCCATTTTGGTTGTGGGCATTTCAAGAGACATACGTGTTTATTTCTCGATGTGTACACCGGTCCACAATCTTTTATTCTTGACCTATTTCTGGTCTAATTCTTCTATGCACTCTATTTATCAATGCTGTAATCATCTAAATTTGCCAGCATCATTTCCATCTGGCCATGGTACTTTGTTCCTGTTCAATTTGACCAGTTCTGATTTCAAACTTTAATATTTCTGGTCCTTCCATATTTTTGTTTATTGCAGATTTTTCCTCT